AAGAAAGGTTTGACAATTTGCCTTTAAAAAATACATAATAATGACATACCAAACACCTTCGAACCACCCTTCATCAATAACTCGAATTTCTTTTATTTCACGCTTCAGCTTTTCAAGCTCTTGAAGCCATGTCTCCTCGTCCTCATCCCGAGGATATTTAATACGTAACAAATAATAAAGATTTACTTCATCGGTGTCCTGCCTTCGCCAGACATCATACTCGTCCTCATCGAATCTGAGTGTGATTTCCAAGATGGGAACACTATCAACGAAGTGTCGATTAACAGCGTTTGGATAAGAAGCTGATCGCCGTACGATCCGAGGTGATGACCGAGTAGGTGTATTAGTTGAACGTTTACCACGACCTCTTGAGCGCGGTGTTGCCATTTTTCTCGTTTTAATTTCAGATTTTGGTTCTAATTTTATGCCTTTGTCGACTTTTTCACTTTTGTCGACTTTTTCGTTCTTTTCAGCTTTAATAACCTTACTTCTTTCGGCTTTTGCGGCTTGTGTATTATAACTAGTATGCACCATGACTAGTAACGAAAAAAAAAAAAAAATACTGAAAAGGACCTGTCTGAACGGCTGTGATGCACAAATAACCACAAGAGGCAAAACGGGCGGAATGGTGAGGACAACAAAGCCCTAAAAGGAAATTCACTGATGTCACCATTTTTGTGGCCGAATTGAAATTGGATCCGAGAGATATACCCCACAATTGTTCTGAACATAAATACATAAATCGTTGATCCGTAGACAAAGTCCCTTAACCTATAAAGGTTGATTCATTAGCTTAATATGCAGTTTTTCCTGTAGTAAAACAATAACTAAAAACTACATTTTTATGTCAATTCAGGTAAGTTCTCCTAGTATGATTTTACGTCAAAGGAAAAAAAAAGCTTCCATTTTCTTTAAAATGATCATTTATTGCTTTCACAAGGCGTGGATGAATCGACCGATCGTAACAAACAAATCAATATTAAAATTACTAAGTTCGCCATGTTCTTTATCGTTATGCAAAACCATTAACAAGGTTTATAAGTTTCATGTGATTACGTTACAGCTGCGATCCAGAGTGCCAAGGATCATCAGGTCACAGATTTTGTTTTTGTGATTTACAATTCGGAAAAACTGGTGGTGCAGAGAACTAACCATCTCTTTCCCTCGGATCGTTATCCATGCATTGTTATGTTTACGTTTAGTAATTATACAATTGGTGATTTACATTGTTGTTCATGCATAATTAAAGGGATCATAAAATACTTCCAAAGATTACTTAACAATTTGCTTCTTATCAAAAGAGAGCTTTTTATTCCCAAACAATGAATACCCAAGTATCAATTCAGATAGTTAAAGAAATATTTATTTTCCAAAAGCCATAGGAGGAAAAACAGTTCAATTGTATATACAATCAACTTATAATGCACTGTAAAAAATTTCTTACAATTTACTATCGGACTTACCGAACTCGAATTTTTTTTTGTAGTTGGGTTCGCTATGCGCGTTACAACCATATAAGTTTGAGGGATTAAACGTTCATGTGATCACATTAACTAAAATTACATCACAGCGATAATGCGGCTATGATTACGGTCACAGGTTTTAAATGGTTTAATTAGTAATCGGAAAGAATAATTTAGATAAATTATAGTTTAGCGTTAGATAAATTTTTATTTTAAAAAAAATAATATATATATATTAATAATATGATTTTTTTTTAAGATTGTTATCCAATAAAAATTTGTATTGTACTATTACCAACGAAAGTTCACACTACATTAGCATAGGATAACCCATATAGCCTAATATACTAAAAAAAGAGATATACTATTATAATCTGTATTAGAATAAAAATTATATATCAACTGCAATATTTAATATAGTATATCTCTATTTTAAAGCATTGTCTTAATATTAAATTTTCTTTCTAATATAAGTTACCAATGTTAGATATCTTTTAACCAGAGTACTGATTCTTGTTTCAAAATATAGCACAGTGTTGTTAACTAAAAGTTGAAACTTCTACTATATATTTAGATTTTTCTAATATTTATAGTTCTAGTTAAGATTTTTTTTACTAGAACAAATGGGGTCTTTGCCTTGAAAATGACCTTACAGGACTATATAAATTTTATGAATAAAAATTAAAATTTTTAGCTATCCAGTAATCCAATTCAAATAAACTTTTTTTATTTTATAAAGCTTAGTTAGTTCTATAATATAAAAAAAAA